ATTTTAGCACCCAAACTGAGAGATGCTTGGCTAAACAGACAGGATATTTCCTTGTTATGTAATTTTAGACATTTGTAGCTGCTTATTACTGCTCCTGTATGGAAACTGGTATCTCTCTCCTACCTGCAGTTCTGCTGTGGTTTGTTTTAGGCTTCTGAGTATAAGTAGGGATTGTACACAGCTATATTAGATTAAGTTGATTGCTTTGGATGAAGTACTGTACATTTTGCCAAGGTAACATGTTAGGTGTTATGGACCAGACTTGGGACAGTTCTGAACTACTAAAGACTGACCAGAATATGGCACAAGCGGAAAAAAAGATAATTAGGCCTGTCTGTTCTGTGTCCTTCTATTGCAAACAATCACACTGCAAGGGGAGTAAAAGTCTTAAAGCCAAATGGAGAAGGAACAAGTTTTGTTGTAAGCAAGAATTTATAGCATTCAGATGACGCTAGGTCTGGAAGTTGTAAGGCAAGGCAGAAAAGAAAAATGAAACAGTGGAGATACTGGGACTGGCTGAGCAAAGGGACTGTGACCAGCAGGGATGAGGAAAAAGGTGACTTATGAGAGGTAGGAATGAGTCTGGAAAAACAACCAAGAAAACCCAACACCGCCCAAACAGAACAGCAAGCCACGGGCACTTCCAAGCACAGTAACCTATCTACTGAGCTGTGGGATAAGACTAAACATTACAGAATAATAAACATCGTAACAGTTAGTTCATAGAAACTTCACCATACCCACCATGTTTACCAAATGTGATGTCCAGGAGCATCATACAATGCCTGTCCCAAATAGTTCATGCTGAAATGGAGAAGACTGGCTACATCAAAGAACATGATGGAAGTGCACAGGGATGATAGATGAATAATGAAGATGACTGAGCTATATTATAAGGTAAAGTGTTTCACAGAAGAAAGAGGCCATAAAAAGGTGGTACTGAGGTTATGCTAGGGAGAAAAATGATTTTCTTGCAGCAGTTAAGGAGACTTCCCATAAGCAAAAATGGGGATAAATACATTTATAGTTGCTATGGAGAGAACACAAGTGGCCAGTGCCACAAGATTGCTCAAGGCAGTGGTAGCTGCTGGTGCAATAGGATAAATCTATAGCCTTACTGATGTTTTCCAGAAGTGTTTGTTTCAATGGCAGAAATCAGAAAACAAACAAAAAAAAAGTATTGGTTCTTGCCCTATTCATTTTGCACAATATGCAATTACCTTTCTCCCCTAAAGATCCTGGGGGATGTTTGGAAGTGAATTAAGATCTGCTTCTAAATTTTGTCACTCAAGTACATTTCTAACAACAGATTTTTTTTTACATGAAAGAATAAAAGAATAAGAAAAAGAACATTAATTCTGCAGCAGAGAAATACCAGTAAGATGCAGTTCAGAGTGAAGGACTCCTATTTGACAAGAAGTTGGTGTTAGTGGGCAGGTAAAGTAGAAGTAACATGGAACAGTAACAGGTAAATTGCAGAGTGAACCTTTGGAAGTTGTGCTAAAGGTGCTGCCAAATCAGTCCTTCACACAGGTGCAAACTGACAAGCCTAAGACATACTAGTCTGAGGCAGCAACAAGCAGCTGAACTGGCAGCAGACCCAAACTTAAAACTAGGATGCAAGCATTGAGGGAATGGACTCCAGATTTCCATCTGTATCTCACTCAAGAACTTTATTGGAAAACCTGGAATGTGGTGAGACACACTAGAGATTTTAGAGTGTAAGCCCTGAGCCAGCTGCTCTAAGTTAAGGTCACCTGTTTTCTCAAACTCCACGACAACTGACATTTAACTCGGTGCTGGAAGGCAATTTCTAAAATGGAGCACTAGACAAGTCTGATATGCGTATGTGGGAGAAGCCCTCATGTCTTGACACAGGACTTGAGAAAGTAAAACACAGCAGAGAACAAACATGCAACTTTTAGTATTGCTGGATATTTCTCCATTCAGTTTTCATATCATATTTCTCCATTCAGATTCAGTTTTGCTTGGACTCTCAGACAAAAGGTCTGAATTTTGGATGGCCCTGTGTGAAGCCAGGAGTGGGACTCAGTCCTTTTGTGGGTCCCCCTTTCATTGTGATCCAACGTAGCCTAGAAAGGAAGGCAGGAGCCAGAGGAGCAGCTCTTATTGGAGCCCAAAGCGCCTCCCAGTGACCTCGGCAGCAGCCCTGTGTGTGCAGAACGCACACATGTACTATGTAAGCAAGAAGTGTAGGTCTCAGTGCTTTAACAGTCCAGTCATAGCAGAGTCTACATGGGCCACAGATGGTACCAGGTGAACAAGCCTCACCTCTGCACAGAGCTATGTTTCTCTCGGTAGCTCTCCATCCCCAGTTTCGTCTGACAGAACGGATTTGTTAGTTACACTATCAGATCTGAGATCCGAGAACACTGTTCTCCTGCACACCAACGGACTTAGTTGACCTTTTATGCTCAGACAAAACCAGGCTCCTCGAGCTAAGCTCACCAATCACAACACTCAGCGAAACATCGGAGTTAATTTGGTGTAATTGGAGCACAGATCTCCTCCTGCCCCCAGGGAACCGTTAGCGGGCAATAGTGCTGCTTAGCTCCTTGTTGTCTTTGTTAATAACATTTCTCAATTGATTTGTGTTACTGTATCTCTCAACACCCTGCTGTGATACTTAAGACAACGGCTTTGGGAAGGATCCAAGCTCAGTAGCAAGGCCTATTTCAGAGACAGACCCGTGCTTACTGTAGGGATGCCAGAGATACTCAGTTTGCAGGTTTCCTCCTTTCCCAAAGCAAGGGAAGGAAAAAAGAAAAAAAATATTATTTGAAATACATGCTGGTTATCCATCATTGAAATCCAGTAAAATAAAAGCCTTCCACTATAAAAATCTAACAATATAGCTCCTCGAAAGTCAGCTAACGTCTAACATGAATGACTGAACTCAGCCAGGAGGCTATCTCCTCTGACTGGGGATTTGGTGCCCATGAGCCACATGTTGGATTCTTCCAAGTCTGATGCACACAGTACCTGAGGATGCTGACTGAAGCTCCAGCATGTGCTTCCCACAGCAGCTTCCCCCTGCAGCGTAACTAACCACCCTGCTGACTGACCTTACAGGAAATAAGCAAATTAACTCCTTTTTGTTGAGTGCCTCCAGATATTCCAAGGAAATATCCCATACAAGCACAATCTCCTCTTAAGTACCTCTGACAAAATATTGTTTCATTTTTTCTTTGTTGTCTTCTCCTCTCTGTTTGGGAGATTCCCACAGTGCCCTTTTGCCTGCTTTTAGTGGGATCACTCAGTTTTTCTAGAACCCACTCAGTTTCTAGAACCAACACTAGCTCATCATCTGCTTGACCCTGTAGTGAATTATATCACTGTAAGTTACTGATTATGTTCCAGCTGTGCATTTTGCTTTGCACAGGCACTAATTAGCCAATATTCATGCCATGAGGATTTGTGACCTGACTGTGGCTTGGCCAACCCAAAGAGAAAGACAGAGTTCATGTTGCTTCTGTCAAATCCTTCTCTAGGAAGGATGTGGTCCTTCAGTGACTGTGCATAGGGGATATAATGGAATGTCAAGAACTATCTCTATACTAATAAATGACGTCACTTTAGAAACCAAATAACTTCTAGCCAAGTCAGGCTGGCAGCATGCTCCAGAAACATGTCTAAGCTGTGTGTTTAATCAAAAAGAGATCAGAAGAATATTTGGATAAAAGGCATGCAACAAACAAACAAACCCCACAACTGAACTAAAAGGGCTGCTCTGAAAGTAATGCCTCCTAATTTATGATGTTGGCCCACAATATCAGAGGTGAATGTGGGTAGTATGGTGGCAGAGGCTGAACCTCCTCAGCAGTATCCCGTTACATTTTGTTGCCGTTGGACTGATAGCAGTAGAGGGACAGCCTGACACAATGATGTCTGATATGCAAGTGCACACGGAGCAAAAGGGCGTCACTGAATTTCTCCATGAAGGAAAAAAGGTCCCCACTGACATTCACTGAACATTTATGGATACAAATTTACTGATGTGAGCACAGTAATGCAGTGGGTGGTGCATTTCAGCAGCAGCAACATGAAAGACAAGCCACGTTTTGGGCAGCCATGCACAGCTGTCACACCACAAATGAAGAGCAGCTCACCAGCTCATCCACACAATTCAGCTAATGGTGGTAACTACATTGAAAAATAGTGTTTCATAGCTGAGAACATGCTCTATTGTAATAGTGTTACTGTGATCTTTGCATCTGTTGTAGTTTCCATGGAAATAAGCAGCAGGCATTACTTTCTGAGTGAGTGACACATTTTAGATGGGATGTGTATGTTTTTACTGTTGAGAATCCAGCCATCAGAAAACTAACACACATAACCTAGGAAGTGCATTCTGCACCAGCGCCAACTATTTCACTTAACATGTTCAGTGTACTGATTTCACTGAAGTCAATCAAACTCTTCATAGAACCACAGGATCATTTGAGCTGGAGGGAACCCTCAGAGGCCAGCAGGTCCAACCCTCCTGTGCTGAACAGGGACACCCGCATCTCCATCAGTTTGCTCAGAGCCCCATCCAGCCTGACTTTGGATGTGTTCAAGGAGGGACACCCACCCCCACCTCTGAGCAAGTTCATCCACTCAGCAGCACCCAGCCTAACGACCACCAGCCCTACAGGACGTTTCACTTTGCGGTACCGACACGAACTAAGCCCCATTTCCACATCGTCCCGAGCCACAAGTAACTCTTGTGCATTTTGCTTTTCTAATTCTTGCGGTTCTCCATTCACTCCCCACAACAGCGGCACTTTCCCAACAAGAAAGGAGCAGGGTTTAACTCGCTCCTTCCCCCACACCCGAAAGCCGCTATGCTAAGAAGGCTAGGGGCGTTATTTCCCACCGCTCCGACGCTCCCGACCGTCGGCGGTGCCCTCCCCGTTCCCGAGGGCAGAACCGCGCTCCGGCCGGGCGGCGCGCACCCCCGGCTTTGAGCTGGCGGCGGCGGGAGCGCGCACGGGGGACGGGCGCTCCAACCCCCGGGCGGGGCCAGACGGCAGCGGGAGCGCGCTCGGCGGCAGCCGGGAGCCCGCCAGGGCACCTCCAGCGCTGCTCCGGCCATGGATCCCCTGCCCAAAGACGGCGAGAGCGCGGCGGGCGGGGAGCCCAGCCGGGGCGCTGCCCCATCCAGCGGGGTGGTGGTGCAGGTCCGGGAGAAGAAGGGCCCCCTGCGCGCAGCCATCCCCTACATGCCGTTCCCCGTGGCCGTCATCTGCCTCTTCCTCAACACCTTCGTGCCAGGGCTGGGTAAGGAGCTCCGCCGCCGCCGAGGGAGGGAGCGAGTCCCTGAGGAAAGTTTCGCGACGGGAGCGGAGCCTCGCGCACCGCCCAACGGCCGCGCCCCGGGGCTGAGGAGGGGGAAGGTGGGAGGTGGGGTCCGCAGATCGCGGTGTGGCTCCCAGGGCCACCAGGGCAGGGGCTCGGAGCTGGCGTGCCGAGGAACCACGCGGATTCTGTTTTTCTTGCTGGCAAGTACCGGGTGAGAGATGCAGATAACGCATCCTTAAGTTGCGGTTGTAATTCCTCTTATGTTTCTGTTTGACCCCTTGCAATTAAGAAATCCTTGCATTTACCTCAGCTTGGGGCCAGCCGGAGCCTTGTAAGAGCGAGCCTTACAAACGCACCTGGAACAGCAGGCAGGGTGCGAACCGTCTGGCAGCGAGCAAAGTGCTCCTTTTTGGGAAAATCAAAGATCCCATCCTACCTTGAGCCTCCTGCCGCTCCCGTACACTGCTGCTGGGGCTGATACTGAAGCTCACTGTGCAGTAACAAAAGCTCCCACCCCACCCGCACCTGCTTTATTTGTTCCAGGTGGCTTCATTCCTTAATGAATCTGAAAGTCCTTCTGATTAAAGTGTGACCCCCAACCTGGTGTGCTGTGTGCAGCATGTATAAGCTGCTCCTGTGTGTATGCTGTGTATTCGCCTACAGGAGTGTTCCAGAGGAAAATGTTAGCTTATTAAAGTCCCTTTGAATTTTCCTATAGAAAGAAAGGCATTGGGATATAAGCTGTAATAATATCAAAGCTGTAGTGCTGCACTCTGAGGTGTGCTGTTGTCACAGCCCTTAGTGCCGGCACCTGAAGAACACAGAGCAATGAATCAAATTCTCCAGCCCAGTACTTTCATGATTTTTTGATCTACTGTTATTTAGCACTTAATTCCTCACCATCTTCAGAGGGAAGTTTTCAAAATCAGAGCTAAGTGAATGTAGCTTCTCACAGAATTGAAAGTTCTGTGTCTCCACTGTAGGTATAGAAGAAAAAAAACCCCACAAAACTATAGAGGAGATTTCCTTTATGCTTTTCCTACCACTTCTGACTAATCCTCCACTTCACAATGCTGCCATTGACAGCACCTTAGAAAATCCCCACTGTTCTTCCCTGTTCCTATGAGGGCAAACCCCATAAACTGTCCCTACACTAGGATTACCTTGAGGTGTAGACACCGGCCCCAGCAGTTCTCTTGCTGCTGCAGGACTGTTGGAGGCAGCGGGTGCTGTGTCTTCCCTCCCATGGAAAGGGTCAGTAAAAGATGGTAGAATGTAGAGCTGCCTTCTAAAGGCTGGGCTATAGGCTCCCAGCCTATGCTTGAGATGAATCTGGATTTTGTAGCCACGGTATTATTTTGTTAGGTAGGTAGTTTGGATTTTTAACAGTCTTAGATTTTCTATTTGGTGCACTGATTTCAGTGGTGCTTTCTGGCTGTCCATACCACCATTCATCCCAATCACCACTGTGAAAGTAGCAAAACAAACAAACTACAAAACAAATCCTTTCCTATGGCATTCTCTCTGACTGGCTAAGAACCTTGCTTTGGAGATGCATCCCCTACTCCACATTGCAAAGCACAGCACATAGTGTGACATAAATGAACTGTTCTCTTAATGAAGCTGCTAATGTCCTGTGCATTCTCATAGAAATTTTACTCAGCAGTATTACATCCAAGTAGAATAGCTTTTTACTGTCTGTACCAAATCCTGTCATGTATCACACAGCCCACACACGAGGGGAAACAGGAGGAACACAAATCTGCTTGTAGGAACAGGATGAAAAGAGATCTCGTGATCTCTTCAGCCTTCTCTGTGAACTGGGCAACACTTGTAAAACAAATAATATTTATGGTGATGTGAAGTGTTCACATCTAGCATCTGAACTTGTTCCTAGCGAAGTAAATGGCAAAATTCCCATTGATTCCCGCAGTACAGAGACATAACATGTTAAAATAATGCTTTGCAGGCTTGCTGTATATTTTTCCTGATTAGTGCACCTGTATATTTGTGATAATGGAAGTTCTCTGTTTTCCAACCCCTGAATTCAATTCCCCTTCTGTTTTGCATGTAGTTGTCACTGATTTATAGTCTCTGCAACACAAGTGCAAGAAAGGGTCAGAAGCCACTGGAATGGGCAAGAAAGTGGGCAATACTGGATAAACCTAGTGTTCCACTGCTTGGAAACCAGTGCATGTTCACTAGTGCCCAGTGCCTTAAACCAGTAATATCCCAACAGAACTTGTGTGCTGATGCAAGCTACCAGATACACAGGTGGCCAGAAAGACCTTATGCTGTTTATGCTTTGCTTCAGTACTGTTTGGACAGGAGAAGTAACACTTTCAATTTGTTTATAGTCATTTTTTTTTCTTTTTTTTCCTTTCTTTTATTTTTCACTTTTTTTCTTAACGGAAAAACTGGGATATTTTCAGGGTTTTCTGTAGTAACCCAGAACTGCAAGTTCTGCCTTGTAAACTGGCTTTTCGTTACTCTTTGTATAAATGTTATAGAAGATTCAGGTGAAATGTTTCATATCCAGGGGATACATTAAACTTGTCCTGCCAAAAATTCAATTGCAGACCAAATACAGCCTAGGGAAGCCTGATTAACCCGCTGCTTGTGGCCTGTTTTGTGGAACAAGCTATCAGTTGCACACTGCTTCCACCCACTATGACAGACACAACTACTTGGTGATGTCTTGGAGCAGAATTTTCTGTAATCCGGTGTAGTCTTCCTCACTTGAGTCTGGTAGAGCATGCCCCTAGTTCAGGTTCATAAAAGGAGCAGCTGGTATGAAAGGGAGAAGAGGGAGCTGGTGTCCTCAGTAAGTGCTGTAGCAAAGGCCCTGGGGCCATCGGCTGCCAGTGTTCACTGCATCACATAGGTCACAGTGGCACAGGGGCTCTGGGGATGTCTCTGGGGCCCTGGGGCTAAGTCATGTCCCAACAAGCTCTGGAGGAATTCAGACAAAGACGCTGGCAGAAGTAAATGGCAGGGTATGGTTTGTTTTTCAATTCCTGCAGGATTGAGCAGCGTGCACCTCCAGCCAGGACGTGCTGCAGATGGCAGATGAACGAAGGGGCTGGCCGTGCCCTATAGCTGGCAGACTGTGTTCTCCTGGAGCTGCCGCGTGCCAGTCAGTGTGGGAGAAGATCTGGCTCTCTGTCATTCCCTGAGATGATACACAGGAATCTTGCCCTCCTTCCTACCCGTTTTTCCTTCTCTCGACATCACGTGTGTGGGAGGGGGGGAAGCGAAGGGGGGAACTTGAGGGGAATGTGAGAAGCGAGTGAAATTAAGTATGAGGTATTCTCCAAGATGAATCCCTCGTGTCAGGAAGGGGGTGGACTTTTGGATCACAGCCTGAATTACACATGTATACTATTTTTATGCGGAGAGTAACTGAAATACATAGCATAAGATTATGTTAGCGCAAGCTAGAAGAGCAGCCACCTGTGAGGCATGAAACAGCCTGTGATGGAGATCATGTGTGACAGCCTCTCACAGGCAACTAGAGAAAGAAGGGATGATTCCCAGCCTGCACAACCTTTTTCTTGGTGGTGTACATCTCTCCTGCTCCTGAGAGTATCACCTCCACATCATGAATCTTGTGCTATCTGTTCATCCTGCTTCAGTCATGATAGAATTCAAGGGCTAGTCTTTCAGCTCTGTAGAATCATAGAATCATAGAATCACTCAGGTTGGAAAAGACCTTAAAGATCATCAAGTCCAACCATGACCTAACCATACTACCCTAACTAACAACCCTCCACTAAATCATGTCCCTGAGTCTTGATTTATACAAGCCGAGCAGATGAGCTCTTGTCTAGAAGCTAGTGCTCTCTTCAGCAGAATGAGCTCCTAAAGAGCTGAAGGGAAGGACAGGAAGAACCACTCAGGAAAGCTGCAGGAATGAGATCTGCTTAAAGTTATCAATATCCATTTTATTTTTGTTGTTGAAATTGTAACTAGATGCCTCAAGCATCTCATTGTCTTCATTAGTGAAACAAAGAATTTTAAGGAAGAAACACATTTTCTTATCTAAGGTTAACACTGCCAAAAAGTTGAGACTTTCAGTCATCTGTGTATTAAAACTCAAGCTTGCTATGGCATTTGTGATCCTATTAATTCTTTTTCTTTTCTGTGGATATTTAGATAAATGAATGTAGTGGATTGACAAAACCCTATGTGGAAAACAAAGATTTTTCAGGTGTTTGTATGAATTTGTGTTTATGAACTCTACTCCTGGGATTCTGTGGCTAGAAGCGTCTTTCAGCCTTTGTTGCATGGACCAGTGGTAGTCTGCAGGAAGAAGCTGTATTTCCATGACAGTGTAATTAAACGAAGCAAACCTTTTGCTAGTAGACTTCACTTATCAAGTTTGTGTATCCACTGGAAATGGTCCATATGCTGCAAAGATCAAGAAGTTCTTTGTGGTAGTTTCTTCACCTGCACGTGCAAGGCAGGAGAGGAGACCTGTGGTAGAATATGTACTTTCACAAGTTACTGCTCCGGGGTACAGCAGCAGTGGTACCAGCTGTACTCTAATTATTCTTCATGGAGATATAACACTGGGCATAAGAACAAGTGAATCTACAGATTTCTACTGTTGCAGGTTCTGTTCTGGCCAGCATGGAGAAGGCTATTGATTTCCTCCTTTTCTTTTGAACAGAGATATAAGTCAGAATTATTAGTGTGTTATATAACTTACTTGGCTGATCGTAGCAAACAGCCACTCAAAGATCTTGCCAGCACTCAGTAGTCTGGAATATTTTTGTTCCATGAAGTGTCTGGACCATCGAGAATGACAAACAAGTTTTCAAAACTCAAAACTAATTCACAGGTAATCTGTGATCAGAATAAATGACAAATTACTTCAAGTTTGTAGCTCCTCATTGCCATAGAATCATCATAGAATGGCCTGGATTGAAAAGGACCACAATGATCATGTAGTTTGAACCCCCCCGCTAAGTGCAGGG